ACACTAACAATAGCTATTTTACATAAAAGTATTCTTTTCTTTCTTCTAATTCTGGAGCTCACAATTTTGCTAAACTGCTGGTGAACTTTTAGGAGAAGCAGACCATGTGTTGACCTGTGTAAAACACACGAAACCTTGAAAATATTAGAAGGTTACAGACTTTGGAACTGTGAACCTCAGCTGGAACTTCCTGCCGACTGCTTTCCTGGTTAGAAGGCATCAGGTCGAGTTTTGTGCTTTGTAGCTTACAGCATGTCTGATCACAACTGACAGACTGCTTTGAAAGCAGGCAGTAAGGATGAATGCTTAATCTGCTGCATAATATGACTGCAAAAAACAGTTTGTAACTAAGGGCAGCTAATAAGATAAAGCCCACAGGGGTAAAATGAATTATTTATAGTAAAATGTGCATAATTAAAGTTTCTGTGAGATTTTGTGAGATTGGTCAGCTCAATTTCACTATGGTAAGAGCATCAATAAAATGACACAAATTTCTGACAGTATTCTATATCTATCTTTAATTATATAAATTATGTGCTGCTCATATTATGCACTTGTAAACTTGTATTCAGTAAACACTAATTTAGTTTCATCTAGATAAAATGTCTGTAATAAAGACATTCCCCCTACTGATGTCATATTGCAAATCTTGGAATCATAGCACAGCTATTCTCAGATCATGCAAGTCAGCCTTGATGCACACACAACTTCTTTGATTACTAAGGATCTATTGCTGTTGCTTTCCAGTTTAGGATCTCACTCCTATTTTTATGCTATAGAATGCCTTTGGAGAAGGAGATCTTTACTTTGAACCCAATAATGTATATTCTTTGTAGTTATCTTCTCACCTTTCTTTCTCCACCCACTTTCCAATTGTTTAGAAGTTAAATATTGAGGCTCTTTTCTAGTCATGCTGAATAAGATGATATTTTGAAAATTTCTCCCTGGAAGACAACAGGACTGTTTCTACTGTAAGCTACTAAACACTGCAGATGGAAGTGGTAAAGATGAAAGCAGAAGCTCAAACTATTCGTCTCACTGAGGTTGGTAGGGCTCAGACTGGACTGTCTGAGCAGTTTCTTGAGCATCCCCTGTGCATAAAAATACCCCTAAAAGAGTGGGTTCCATGAAAAAGTGCTTGTAAATTAGGTTCTCCTGAGAAGAATAGAATAATAGGCACGAGTTTCAGCTAGTACCCTAACTCTTGATTTGAAATAAAATTGCTACTGCAGGTATGGTCCTTTCTTTAGCTGATTCTCCTGTAGGAGTAAGAGGTTTAACATTATCACAAAAGGGAGCAGAAGTCCACAGTGCTGACCCACCTTTCACATTTGAAGCCCTGGCTCCTTTTCATAGTGTACTGCAGACAAAGATCCATAGGGAATAAAATGCATACAATAACTGACATTGTTTTCCACTTTCCTTCTCTGGATCTCCAAATCTGGATAGGGCCACTGCCAAAAGCCTTGAATGATTGTGACAAAGAGGGAGGGTAGAGGGGTGGAGAGCAGAATGAATACAACCTGTGTTCGATTGCTTTTGCTTTCACAACATTATAAAATGTAAGCATAGGGTCATAACACGAACCTCAACAGTTTTTGAAGGACTAGTCCTAGTCTCCCATAGAAAGAAAGGGAGCAAAACATCTGATGTGTGGTGTTCTTTTGCCAGAAGGACAACAACAATTTGGAAGTGGAAGACAGGTGTATGACAAGACAGGTAGGCAGGGGAACCAGAATGATCACATAATCAAGCTCATTCTTTTTATATGAGTTCAGGTCATCATTTGAATGCCAGACAATATGCCCAGATTTTAGCTGGAGGAAAGAAAACAGCAAGGCATTGACCCAAAAAGGCAATGTTCAAGTCTTACGAATGCTTTAGTCTTCTTTATTAAACGGAATCCTCAGCTTTTCCAAAAAGAATGTTTTCATTTCATGCTCCCTTTTTCTATATCTTATACACAGAGAAAACAACTGAAAGCATTCTAGAAGGTCAACAATACATTTTAAAAAGAGAAACAATTCATTTTTCTTGCTTCTATTTGCACCAGTGTCCCTTAAGTTTAAAATTGATAACCAGTATATCAGGCCTCATGTTCCCATGAGCATGAGAAATTAATGATTGATGTCAGGTGTCTTTTTGATGTAATTAAAGAAATCATCATTTTCTCGCCTTTCCAAATATCAAAGAACTGAACACACCCTCCTTTTAAAGAAATCTTCACATCTGTCACTACAGTAATCTCCAGGTCCTAATGCACCAAGAGATAGATAGAGGGATCTGCAATAAAAACATACATTTCAGAAATTGTCTTCATATAATGGATCGTCTGTGTTAGGGTGGGACAAGGATTTGGTTGAACAGAAATGTTAGCAGGGATTTGTGGTTAACCAAAGCTATTGTGATACGATATACAGGAAACCACAACAGATCTATGCCTGTAGTCAAAGAAGTAATTTTACTGACCTTTTTCTAAAATTACCTGGCTCTGTGCATAAGTCTTAAAATCTCAGGTGCTGATCTTAAAAAATCTTATGCACATACTTAAATCAGTGCTAACTATAACAGTCCAGCTGAATTCAAACTGATTACCTGAATAGTGTCAAGCAGCTAATGATTTGTAAATCTATCTGCCAAGCAGGACAGGGGGATTGGTTTTAAGTTGAAGGAGGGAAGATTCAGGTTGGATGTTAGGGGGAAGTTCTTTACTATGAGAGTGGTGAGGTACTGGAACAGGCTGCCCAGAGAGGTTGTGGATGCCCCATCCATCCCTGGAGATGTTCAACGCCAGGTTGGATGGGGCCCTGGGCAGCCTGGTCTAGTTTTAAATGGGGAAGTTGGTGGCCCTGCATGTGGCAGGGGGGTTGGAGATTCATGATCCTTGAGGTCCTTTCAAACCCAGGCCATTCTGTGATTCTGCTCAGGAGAAAATATCCTCCTCTTCCATATTCTGTTCTGGACAACAGAATATGAATGTGTAACAATGAGCAATTCAGTGTCAGTCTGATGAAATGTAACAAGAAAATATCCACTTTATGATATTGTAATGATAGTGTTATGTATTTATGTAAGAAAAAAAGATAGACATTTTTGCTCAATATTTTTCATAACTTTTCTTACAATTGATTATCTCCAACTGAACAGGTCCTTCGGGGGAAAAAAACCAATTTCAAAATAGAGATTCGGCTGTGCAACACCTATTTCACAACAACAGGCTTTGTTTTGTTTGTTTGTTTTGTTTTTATTAAGTATGATTACTGACTGAAAATGCCAATAGGAAGGTTTCTCCACCAACTTCCCATGAATAATATTGCTTCTCTGGTATACTGCATTACTTTTCCACTGGAAGTCAGGCAATTTTTTCCTGCCTGATTAAAGGATGCTCCCAGGAATTTGCCACAGGAAAGTATAGAAGAGAGGAGAAAACAGCTGAGAAGAAAGCAACTGAAAACATTCAAAAGACTGTTTGAGCATCAGGAACCCACGTAATTTTGGAAAGCAATGCTAACTGTTACAATTGCCATCTTCTAACAAGCAGGTGAATCTAAACAGAAGCAACTGCTCAAACAGAAACACACAGTTTTTACTTTAAGTTTTGACTGTGTGGGAAGGTAAGCACATTTCATAAAACAAAAAGCAAAGAAAAACAACACTGCTGCTTTTTAGCACTTAAGAAGCAGGCAGGTATGTGTGACCTGAACTTCAGAACCAACCTTTCATAAGGAGCGATACAAAAAAACGTCTGTTTTCTTAAACCAAGACAGAGCAATGTAAAAAAATTATCTGGGAATATGTAGAAATACTACTAGTTCTGGAGCAGCCTAATGTGTCTACTTGTGGTTATACACAGGCAAATTGTACTTGTTTGCATTTACTCAGGTGGTTGAAAAACAGCTAGCCACTCTTTCCATTCATTTGCTTCTACCTTATTCACCTGTCAAAACATCTGTTTACAAGGCATTGGTCATTCATCTGCAAATGAAGAACCTGATCCAAATGCTGTTGAAATCAGTTGCAAATGTCCCACTGAATGGGATCTGGGTGAAGTCCTCAATGTGTACGAGCAGTTCCATAAGAGGGCAGAAGAGACAGTAAAATACACTTATCCAGAACATCTGTGTATCTTCCTAAGTTTACAGGTGAAGGAGCACAATTTATAAGAAGAAGTATAAATAACGTACCAAGTAATTTCAAAATTGACAGGTATAATTTACAGTGAACCTAGCTCATATAAATAAACTTCCAGCATTCACAACTTTAAGACAAACAAATCAGAAAAGAAACACGACAAGCCACGTGAGAGGGGAAAACATGTTTTAGGTGACTCAATGAACAACAGGTTATTCAGCATGCAGGAGGGGAATAGATATCAGTCTAAATTACAATACTGTTTTACTCTCACTTTTTCTTTAATTGTGGACTATCAGCCTTATATTTGGCCAATAATTGATGGTGATAATCAGACTATATAACTTCTCACAAGCAAATCATCCTGTTAGAGTACAACTTATTTCACAGCTGCATAACACTAAGAGCATGGTTTCTAAAAGCTTAGCCCAATATCCTCTCAAGTATTACATATTTTTCCACTAGTTGCAGTAATCAATGGAATGATATTTTTTAAAGTAGAATAGTTATTTAGCAATTTATAATTAGAAATCCACATCAAGTGAATTATAGTATTATATTATTAGAAATAATATAATAATACAGTAATAACAGATAAAATTGTATTTGATTGAATTTGATCCTGAATATCTAAAGACTGGCACTGAAACACTCTTCCATTTAAGAAGGAACATGCTGTAATTCAGCAGAGCTGAATAAATAAAGGCATTGCAGAAGTAATGTTAATTTATTGGCTAATAGTTACATATCCTCAGTGGCACAAAGATATACAAGCAGAAGCAAGGATATAAAAGGTGCAATTTAGCTAGGACATATTAGAAGTGAAAGAAGTGGCTGAAAAGGTTCAAATGAGTTAAAAAAGCTGTTACCTGTAAGCAGCAACATTAGCCACTGTAGATGCAATGACTGGACATATATTTCCTCCAGATTAAAGGCTGTGTATTTGAAAGCACCTCCTTTTGGTCTGTAGGAAGGAAACAGGAGAAAGAGTCGGTCTTCATCTTAAATATTATCTCAGACAGGAAATTTAGCCCTTACAGAAGAGTTAAGGCACCTCTCATCAAAGCTGACCTGAAGACATAAAATAAATAAATAAAAAGTTATGCCTGCACTAGGAACTTTGTGAAAGGGCACAGAGCTCTTGCAGCAAGGGCTCTGCTTTCTTTGTTCTTCAAAGGGCTAAAACTGTCCTGGCTAGTCCCTAGGGAATAGGCTGGACACATTCTCATGTAGTTTCAAAGTGTTAAAATGGCAGTTGATTCCTACAAGCAGATCCCAGATTGCCAAATGTGGACCTCCTGCGTTTCTGCATCCTCATCCAAAGAGCTGTGCTACCTGAGTGGGAGTCCTGCTTATCATGTAGATGCAAAGATCATTGCCCTTAAAGTCAGAGTTAAAAGGAGCAACTCTAGCCAGCTTTGTGTCCTGCCACAATACCCTTATGCTGGCCCACACAGAAGAGCATGACTTGAAAAGAAAGGCATTTGCACCCTTAAGAGAAATGCTATTAATACTGTTATTAAAAACCTTTTGCTCATAACTTCTCTAATGATGTGAATAAAATGCTGTTTATCTGTATCAAACTATTTTTTCCTCTTTTTGTCAGCACTGTGTTGTTAAGTACAGGAATGATGTTTTCCTGGGATTACACACGCAAATAAAATTTCACCTCATAGCAGTCTTAGCACTCTGTGTGTTTCCTGCTGGCAGATTAGCTATCACATAAACATGCACCTTGGTATAAGGAAACATCACCTTAAATTGTATGGGCCCCAGCCAGACTCAAGCTCTGTCAGAACAGCTCTCTGGGAAAGGATCTAATTCTATAAGTGGAGGTAACTCCCAATAATTACTTCTGAATTATTCCAAGTCTCAGCAAATAATCAGTGCCTGATTTTGAAGACCAGCAATCACCATTTTAGCAGAGAAATATTTACTTATGTTTTGTGAATAATGAATAAATTACCAGCACAGATTTCCCAGATGGTTTTTAAAATAGACATGATCCCCAGGTTTTCACTGATGGCATCAACTTAGGCAACAATCCTACTCTAAAGAATGTCTTTATATTAATTAGTGCTACATAAAACAATAACTACAGCTCACGTTCTCTGCCTAACAGATGTTGAACAGGTGAAAATATATTAGAGAAGATAGTTTTCTGGGTTAAATACTTTAAAATAAATAAGTGAGATGTTTTCAAAACTCACTGAAAAACAAAACATTTGTAAAAGAGACGATGCAAATGTCTGTAGTAACGTAACAGTAAAGTTAAATGCAGAAATCCCAAGCCAAATAGCTAAAAATCAAAGTTCCCTAGGGATGATGACCTTTGCCTCCAAGTGATTTATCAAAATAACAAGTCTTAAATGGAATTATCACAGAAGACATTAATTTGCCCTACTGGTTCAGAGCACCACAGCATTAAACACAACAGTTACACTGGCAAGCCCCAGGCCCAAGCAGTTTGCTCTTTCAGATGGCAGCAGCAATAAATCACTGCATGTTCAGAACCAGTTTATGCTTTGTATGAAATTATACTTGAGAAACATGACCACATGTTCACAGAATCACAGAATGGCCAGGGTTGGAAAGGACCTCAAGGATCATGAATCTCCAACTCCCCTGCCACATGCAGGACCACCAACCTCCCCATGTAATACCAGATGAGGCTGCCCAGGGCCCCATCCAACCTGGCCTTGAACACCTCCAGGGATGGACGGGGCATCCACAGCCTCTCTGGGCAGCTGTTCCAGCACCTCACCACTCTCATAGTAAAGAATTTCCCCCTGACATCCAACCTAAATCTCCCCTCCCTCAACTTAAAACCATGTCTCTTATCCTGCTGTTATCTACCCTTTCAAGGAGTTTATTCCCCTCCTGTTTGTAGGTACTGGAAGGCTGCAATGAGGTCACCTTCTTTTCTCCAGGCTGAACAAGCCCAGCTCCCTCAGCCTATCAATGTTCTTGGGAGCAAGTTAATATTTTTCTTCCTAATATCTTGAGAATTCTCCTCACAGTTCCCTCAGGCACCTTAATTCTCTAGCTGTACACACGCAAGTTGAAAACTTCTCTCAAGAGATTATAGACTCACAGAATACTTTGGGCTGGAACGGGCCTTAAAGACCATCCAGTTCCAAATCGCTGCTCCATCCAGCCTGGCCTCAATGTGCATCACTGAGAAGCTTTATCATTTTTAATAGAGAAATCTTTGCTTGTTCTCACAGAGACAAGATTAGCTCAGCCACCATAGTAAGATTCATATTTCTTGCTGCCTTTCTCAAATTCATCTTCTGAGAGTAGCTTCTGTGGCCTTTACTGTGCTGCTCATTTGTTCTGCAGCAGAGCCTCTACCCGCTATGCACAGCTGCATGCTGTGCAGGATCTCTGTAATTGGAGGCCCAGTAAAATGACTGAGAAACAGTCCATTCTTGCTAGCTGGGTTAGACACAGGCTAGCAAGAGTCCAGGCACACTTTATGTGGTGACCTTTCAATTGCCATTCCTTTATTTCCCCTTTCCAATCTTCCCTAATTTAGCTCTGCAAAGCCACACAAAATAACATCAGCTGTGCAAAATGAGGTGCATGTGATATTTACTAAAAACAAACAAACAAACCACCAAACCTCCAGGCACTTTCATTTTCTCACTAACAAACTTAATTTAAAAGGTCAGTGGCTGAAAACAGGTTTTTTTAAGACTCCAGATAAAATGACAGGACCCCACCAAAGAAATTGGCAGGACCCAACATCATTTCTGTGTCTGCACACCTTAATTTTCTGGGTAGCTATGAAAGGGTAAATCAGAAGGAACTGAGAAGGCCCACAAAATCAGTTGTCCTTTGAAGGAGGAGCTGAAAGAGGGGCAATTTTTTATGAATAAGCAGATTGACTGATGTCTCAAATAGAAAAAAGTGATCTTATCTCTTCTATAAAGAACAGAGTAAGAAAAAGAAGTTTTTGTGTTCTTGGGAGGTCTGGCAGATTTACATTGCTGCTAGACCAAATTCATGTCTATGTTTTGCACTCCAAACTTAAAGTGATGGCAGAAAGTTTTATTTCCTGATTTGCACCTAGCCAAAATGCACCCACTTGGATGAGATCTTCTAGTTCTAGAAATATACTGGAAGCTAACCACAGTAAAGAGATTTTGTACATGGGTCACTCTGAAAGTAATGTCTCCTATTAATTTCCATGGAAAGTGCAACAGCTATAAAGAGCTCAACAGACTATTTGATAGAGCAAATCCTCAGCTACAAAATACTAATTTTCAACGCTGTCACCACCATTAACTACGTCTTGTCACCAGTGATGAAAAATAGACTGCATGCTGCACTCATGAAAACCTTCATCAGTGGAGGTGACCCACTGTCTGTGGCCACTGCTGAGAGGCACCACTCCCTGCCTCACTGTGTGCACACCCACTGTTTGGTCTCCAGAAACACTCAGCAAGCATCAATGAATTCCAATGGATGTAATTTTTTCCTCATGGAGGAATTCAGTTCCACACCTTTGCTTCATATGCACACCTCCATGCTTTTTTGTCAGACTGCTCCTCTGCTGCCATCTGTCACATGGCAACAAAACGTAATGGACTATTGGCAGGAAGATTCAGCCTCTACTGCCCTACCACCACCATCTGCCTCTGACATTGTGAGCTAACATTGTAAAATGCGAGGCATTACTTTTGGAGCAGTCTTTGTACGTTTCCACCATTTCAGGTATGTTTCTTAAATAATTTCCAGTCACACTGTACAGAGTATTCTAGTGTTCTTCTTCAACATAAGCAACTGCTTTGAAGAAAATAAGCTGCAGAGATAAAGCCAAGGTAATAGTGCCTATGTTAGAACTCATCAAACATCCACACTGAGAGTAAACAATTCCCCAGAATATGTACAGTCTGACTTAGTTCTATTCTAGTGTAATTTTTTATTGCTACAATGTACAACTTATAATTATTTGGAACCAACAGAAAAAACTGCTATGTAAAAGGGCTTTGTATGCTGTTTTTTTTTCCTAAGCCGCTGCTTGATATTATTAATATAGAGTTAGTGCACATTTCCATCATGTCTTTCACCAAACAGTTCACTAGAATGAATTAGTAGATGTACAAAAGAGAATGTTTATCCTCTGGTTAGGAGCTCACATCCATACTTAGACACCTAAAGAAATGCTCAACCTCTACAAACTTCCAGAGACATTTAAAAACTATCTTTAAATTCGGTTTGGCAGTGACTCAAAAAAAAAAAAAGAGAGAATCATTACAACCATAAAGGTTGTTTCCACTTATTTTATCTTTCTTTTTCCAGAACAGATTCCACACTGATAGCCCTTTTGTATATAGAATTATGATACCACATAAAACTACTGACTTCATTTAAGTGTATCATAAGGCTACAGTATTTAATGTATTTTGATAATTTTGAAAAGACACAAGATACCACAGAGACAGACTTGTGAAACCATGACTTAAGTCCTGGAGGTTATCACTGTAAATAACGTACACAAATTTTACATGCTGTACAACAACACCACTGCCAGCATAATGAAGTCAAGGAATGGGTTTGGACATCTGTATTACATATATAAATTCTCAGTATTTAATGAATATGTGACTAATTCTGTCAGTGAACTGGGCTTATATACAGTATCATCAAAATCTGCTCAAACTGGGGAAAGAGATTGAAACAGCTACGTTCCCCTTGATATTCCATGCCTTTGACTGGAGCTGGACCTTCCAGAAGTATTACAAAATAGAAACACTGTGTTTTCATCCTTCCTCCCAGAGTTCCTCTAGTATTTAAGAGAGAAATTTGGGCTAACTTGACTTTTGGTCTCAAACAACCCAACACAGTTAATCTAATGTGGGAGACTAAACAGGCAACCAGCACAAGTTATAACAACTGAAGAACACTTGTAACAGGTTTCCTAAAATATGAGTCCTGGATTTATTTATTTTTTTAAATAAAGGCATTCAATACCCAGTTATTAT